GGTTTTTTTTTGGCTTACCACTTGTATAACTTTAACAAAAGGGAACACACAGAATTTCACTTTGAAATTATAACTAGTGTATGTTTATTAACGAATTCGGGGACTGTTCGGACATGTACGCGGGGGGGAAATTTCATACGATACGCTTTACAAATAAAAGTACAATTGACAAGACATGTGTGTGTGTAACACAGGTGTGGTGCGTTTACAGAGGTGGTGAAGAAGTTAAATGTCAAAGTGTTTTATTTACAATAGTTAGTGGGGATTTATGTGTGTGTGAATGTGGAGTGGATGATGCGGCATCTGCTGACGTCGGTTGATGGTGGGGTCGGAGCTGCTCATTTAGCCATCCTGGGGCCCCTAGGCGAATCCTTCGCCTAGTAACCGCTGTAGCTCTGGTAGTTTGTGGACCACATTACTCAGGCCAGTGGACCGACGATGATACGGGCGGATTGTTGTCTCCGACATAGATAGTGGAAGCGACGATATCTTGGAGCCTGCTTCCTGCGGGGGTGACTCGTACCGGTGTCACGGCGCCAACGTTGCACTCTCGTTTCTGGCGACAGTGCTTGTTACGGCGCGACCGGGGCACATTGGCGTGCCGGGCGAAGCGATTTCGTTCCCTTCTACGGTGAAGTCGCTCATCGCGTGTGGGAGCGCAAGGCAATTTAGGCAATGCCCATGTGCTCGTTCCACCTGGGTGTGGGCGGTGGCATAAGCCTCAACGAACGCTATTTTGGCTGCAGTATGTATATTGCGGCGGCATGTGTGTTACCCGAGCAGCTAGAATTGAGTGGAATCGTCGTACTGTGCGGACGTGTTTTTCTTGGCCCTTCGATTTTCATCATAATATCAGCCTAACTATTGTGACAGTGACTCTTTTTTATATTTGCTTTTTGCAATGATGAAAACTCGACATTGATTGAGGTAGTCACTCTTGTGTTTTCTAAGTATATTATATCTTAATATTTCTTTTATATTAAAACTACATCATGCCTTGCGCATGTGGCCAAAAAGTTGATAGGACACAATCAACACTGCCGTGCGCGAAGTGCAATGTACTTTTTCACACGAAATGTGTTGGTATTCTACCGGCAGATGCAGAATTTTTGCTCAGCTCCGACAAGAGTTTCATTTGCAAAGGCTATGCTGAAGCTCGTCGCGATTCCCTCCGTTCGCCTCCTCCGCCAGTTGTCATGGAGGAAAATTTAACAACCTCTAATATTACCAAATCTGTCTCTTCGAACTCTTCTAACTCTATGAAATCAAAGCCCGCTGGCTCTTTAAAGCAAAATGGTTATTCAAATGATAATACCAATACCACTAAGCAACAAATTACATTGGGATCTCTATACAGTATGGTTGTCTCTCTTCGAAATGAGAATGCCCGCGTGCGTAATCTGATCAGTGCTTTACGGGAAACATCCACTCAAATCTTCTTTCCATGCAGCGTAATCTGCTTGAGAAAGATAATGATTGCCTTACTTACGGCAGAGTTTAAAGACCTTCGCTCCTTTATTGGTGTTGCTGTTGAGAAGTTTGGTAGTGATAACGCAGCCGTAAAAGAAATTATTGCTGCTAATCGCGCTATTTTTCTCTCGTCGCAAACTTCTCGTGCTGCTCGCTCTGCGAATGTCGCTTGGTCATCCGCTGATACACACACGCACAATGACACTTCGGCACCTGTTTCTTCGGCTGTTGCTGCTGATTCTCTACCATCTGATGCTAACGCTTGGTAATCTGCTGATACACATTCGCACACTTAGATGTCGGCACCAGAAAATGTTGTTGCCTACACTGACCCTAAAGCACAGTATACCAGTAGAAAAGGTTTTTGTTGTTGTGGCTGTTAATTTGGTCCCCATAAAGGACTTGAGGGTTGCCAGCAACTGTTTTGCCGCATTCGGGGTGCTGTGCAGCAAAATAATGTGGTGAAAAATTTTAACATCGGATAAATGGCGAGAGAAATATTGTTATGCGCTTTATAAGTATACATGGACGTAATAAAATGTTTTATACTTCAATACAACTAATTAGCGCTATTTTTGCAATTCAAAGTGATCTTAAAAATATTTGTAGTGAAATATGTACTTTATGAGTTAAATGGAAACTATCTTATATGTCAAAATATATTCCGACTTACTTCAAATAAATGATGTTAAATGTTTTATATATGGATCTAATTTTAACAATAATATTTAGTACTTTCATCTACATTGCTTTTATTGTAAGTTTTCACGAGTAGTTGCAGTTTTCTGCAATTGTCTCTGGCCGACTATACATGCTAAAGCTAAATAATTTCACAATTTCTACCCTATTAAACGTTTATATTTTAATAAATGTGATCAATTACTTAAGAATATATAATTTTCGATCAAACTATAACGCTGAATGCTTGAGAAACAATTATTTAAATCAAATGATCAATAGTGAACGCACTCGGGGCGAATTTTGGAACACGGAGCGAATTATGCATATTAACACTAAATAATTTCTAACTTTCTACCGTATTATACGTTTATATTTCAATTTAATATGATTAATTACTCGACCGCTGTGTTGTAGTGGTAAGCAGTACGCGCTTCCACTCCGCAAGGCCTGGGTTCAAACCCTGGTCAAAGCAACATCGCAAAAAATATAGAAAAAAGGTTTTTTCTTAACAGCGGTCGTCCCTCGGCAGGCAATGGCAAACCTCCGAGTGTATTTCGCCATGAAAAACAGCTTCTCATAAAAATACAATCGCCGTTCGGAGTCGGCGTAAAACTGTAGGTCCCTCCGCTTTGTGTGACAACATCAAGGCGCACGCCACAAATAGGAGGAGAAGCTCGGCCAAACACTAACATATGTGTAAGCGCCAATCTAAAAAAAAAAAAAAAAAATTACTTATTAATATATAAACTCCGATCAAACTTCACTACTGAATGCTTTACAAACAATATTTGAATCAACAGATCAACAGTGAACGCATTCGGAGCGAATTTTGGAACACGATATAAAATATGCATGTTAAGACTAAATAGTATCTCATAAGCTTATGTTTTAATATAATATAATTATCTACTGAAGAATATATTAACTCCGATCAAACTATAGTATTAATTATTTCACAAACTATTTAAATCAAATGATCAACAGTGAGCGCGCTCGGAGCGAATTTTGGAACACTTCATAAAATATTTACAGAGGAAGTACATTATTTGGTAGAGATCAAAATTTATTTAACAAAGTGTGATTGAATTTGACATTGCTCTCAGAAGAACCATCCTATAAAGTCAAATTGAAAAAAATTTGTACGAACTTTGAATCGTTTGTTTATATTTTTTTACATAATAGTATCTTAAAAGAGAGCCGCAATGAGTTGTCAATAACACCTTGGGCCGTATGCATAAAAACTAAGCAATTACTTTTTTTCAGATTTTCATACCTTTCACTTAAATTTATTTGAAAAAATTGAGTGAAAGGTCTGAAATTTTAGGAAAAGCATTTGCTTCGGTTTTATGCGTACGGCCCCTTGTTTAATACACCCATGATACAAATATTTAAAGGTAAAACCGCACAATTCGTCGGCCATCATTTACTTTTTGTAGTTTGTCTATTTTATAAAATTGAAATTTTGAGAGCAACTCAAATGCCAATTAAAGGTAAAACAAAAAACAAATAGATGAAAATATTGAAATTTTCATTTATTTGAGACTGATAATGAGAATGTATTTGTGAGATTGGAAATTTGAAAACATTTTTGTAATGTTAGCAAACTTTAAAAGTGTTCAGGCTGCCTTTCAACGGTTTTACCTTCAGATTTTTGTACCATGAATACACCTTGGTCAAGATATCACGAACAAGTTTTCCTTTATTTATTTTTACTTAAAATCCTTAAATATGTATCTTGATTTTTTTCTGTACAATACGTAATAATTTTTTTTAACGATTTAAAAAAGGGAACAGCCGGATCTACGTAACCAGAACGACCTGAATGCGCATTGAAGTCGGTTGTATTTTTTGCTTAAAATTATCTGTTGTTATTGAGATACAGTTTCGCTACTATTTAGAGATTTCTCGACATACTTTTTCATTTTACTGTTATTTATCATTTTTCTTATTAGTCATTTATATGTTTAGGACTTACTGTGGGTGCTTTAAGATTCATTTTGTAAATATGTATGTACATATAAAAAACAATTGCGATATTTTATTTTAAATTATGAGTTTTATTCGTGCAATTTTTTATGTTTAATAGTTTTGAGAACATTTTTTGGTTCTGTCGATTCTTTTATTGCATGCCTTAAACTTTTTTACTTTAAGTTATAATGTTGAAGATATGCCTTCTATGTGTATTCAAAGCAAGCGCTGCGTTCGTAGCTACTCGAAATTAATAGCATTTTCGTAGATTTCACGAAAAATCGAACTACGATGGATTCTATGATAGCCTTGATTAGTTCGTGCGATTATGACTTATGGATCGATTATGGATGGGAACGGAACCTAAGTTGGGTTGCCGTTGGACAGCGCCACTGAAATGAAAATGTTTTTTATTATGAATAGCAATAATTAAGTTTCACAAAGTTCAAGGTGGTACAATTTAAGAAAAAGTTGAAAAAAGAAATAAAGTATCTCAATCAAAAATTCCCGGCAGCCACAAAAACGCACTTGCCAATATAGCAACTTAGTTGCCAGCTTTCAGTTGCTAGTTGCCATCGGTAATACCATTTCAGCCACTGGCCAACCAACTGAAGTTCGGTTGTCCTCCGTAATCGACCCATAAAATCGGAATCGAATATGCATGCACGTTCTGCTGAACGATAAATATTTTTTAAATATGTGCTCTGTCTGCTAACGAATTCCAGCCATGTGTGAAATATCGTATGTGAAGCGTCCGTCTGACTTAACGATTGTCAAAGGCATGCCAGAAGATGTTTCATCATATGTTTTCGGCCATCGTCTTCTTCAAGTAAGTTCATCGATACCAAAAACTTTACAACCTATATTTGCCAGCAGCCCTTAGTGTTTTTGCCAATGGCATAGTACTATTGCACTGTTAATAACCAAATTAAGCCGCAGTTGCATTCACACGTGATATAATAGCTAGTGTCGGCAAGCTGTGGGAATGCCCAGGAGATGGCGTTTGTTCAGCTATCGAAATCATTACACCGACGGCGGTGGGCAGCTCTGCTGGAACATATTTACCACAGCAGTGGTTTGGGGCGTTTTGTTCTGCAACAAAATCCTGCAATGATGACTATAATGTCGACGAACAAAGATATAAAATTTAAAATGACCAACCTTATGCCCGGCCGATTTGGGAGACTGCCCTTGGTCACGACCAGAACGCATTTACTAAGAGGAAAAACCGCAGGGATTGCAGTAGTTCTTGCAATCACCGTTGATGATGCTGTGCTTGTAATTAATAGTCTGAAAATACAAAAAAATGCATTAATGGAATCTTATACACATCAAATAAATAAATTTCAATAATTTGTTTACCATTTCACAAACCGAATTACCAAGAAATAGAACTCACCGCGAGGCGATACAGAAATAAAAACCAACAGGGCTGCATTTTCTTGGTAAACAACACAAGCGCTCAGAGCAAACTGATCCGCCAAATTATTTTGTGAAAAATAATAGTTGAAAAGAGTTTTTACACATGATTATCACATTAACTCATAAGTGCAAATTATTGTGATTACTTTTAGTTGTATATAATTGTATTACCTTAGACTTTTTTTAATTGTTTTCTAATATTCATTCTTTTGGGACGCAAAAGCAACCCTGCGCTCAATTTCTTGTGGGGAAATTGGGTCCCCATAAAGGACTTTCACCACGAAACAGCTACAAAAACAAAAACCTTTTCTACTGGTATACTGTGCCCTAAAGTGAGTGCTGCTGCTTGCTCCATGTGGCTTACACACACTCACGCTAAGTGTTCGGCGCCAGCTGCTGACGACTCCAATGATGCTCTCCCAATTGCTTTTGTGCCCACTGCTGAGGTTAATAATGCACAGTGGTCGACGGCAACGAAGAAAAGGAATAAAAAACAAGTGCGTGTTTTCGGTACAAATGCATGTAAAGATTTGGACGTTGCGGTCCGGCATAAATGGTTGCATGTAGGTTCTTTCTCGCCTTCCGTATCTGAGGATAACAATAAAGATTACGTTTTTAAGCAAACTGGTTTAGATAAAAATTTGTTATCCTGTTTCAAACTGGTTAAGAAAAATGTTTTAGCATCAACTCTTAAGAGAATTAATTTTAAGTTGGGAGTTCCGGAGTCCTCGTACGCGAAGTTGCTGAGCTCGGAAATTTGGCCTGCAAATGTCTCGGTCAAGCCTTTTCAGTTTTTTCTAAAGGCACAACAACAGCCACCTCAGACATAGTAACGAGCTCGTGCACTCCTAACCGTGGTCTCAAGGTGTAATTCCATAACTTATCCGGCATGCGAACCAAGGCTGATATTGTGCATTCTTTTAGTGCGCAAATGGATTATGACATCTTTGTTTTAGTTGAGACGTGGTTGAATGCAAGTTTTTTCGACAGTGAGTTCTTCGACTCAAATCTTTTTAATGTTTCTCGCAAAGACAGAGATGCTGCAAGAACTGGTTGCCTTCGTGGTGGTGGGGTTCTAATTGCTGACAAGCGTCAACTCCGTGCATTCCTGTGTCCACTCTACAATGATGACTCTCTGCTCGATCAAATTTGTGTTTGTATAAATTGTCAGTCTTCGCAAGGTTTCATATACCTACTCGCTTCGTATATATCACCTGATAGTTCATTTGAGTTGTACAAAGCTCATGCTGACAATGTGGTATCTCTAGTTTTATGTGTGCTAGCTGATTTTAACCTATGCAAGATAAATTGGTCTGCTAGTATTTCTAATTCTAGTCTTACACCAACTAATGTTTCTGCAAATCATGAATTATATTTTATTGATAATATTCTTAGTCTTAATTTATTTCAAGTTACTAATTGTCTTAATTCTCTGAATAGAATTTTGGATCTAAATAATATTTGTAAGTGATAACATAAGCTACAAAGTTAGTCAATGTTTGTATCCAATAACTCCTAAAGATAAGCATCATTTACCTTCAGTTGTAAAACTCGATTTCTATTATTTTGCTTCAGTAACTTCTGATGACATATGTTTTTTTTAATTAAGCATTATTCGATTTTTCTAGCTTTAATAATTTCTATTCGATATTAATTGGGATAATTTGTTTGCAGATCTTGATACAATTAAAAGTTTCACTACATTTAAATCCATTTTGTGTAAACTCTGCTGGGATAACATTCCGGTTAAAAAGAAAAAACCCTATAGATTACCCTGGTATTCTAAATATTTAAAAAAGCTTAAAAATCTTATAAACAATTTTTTTTTTAATTTAAATCCACGAAGAACCATTCGTTTTTCGTTAAATACAAAAGAGGTTTAAAAAATTTCATCTACTTAAATATATCTCTTTATA